GTTGCACTGAAGGTTGCAGACTGGTAAAAATACTGCCATAGAACACACCGATAAATACACCCACTTCCGAAATTCAGGAAAACTACTAACAACTCTCCAAGGTGTTTGAGTCACATGTCAAATTAAAGCATATTTTATTATCTGTCATTTTCTGTTCAACTTTTTGGGGTTAACCAATGACATTTGGGGAAAAAAATTCCATCAAAAGATGATCACGCCTAAATGTAGTCCTGAAGCCAATTGCCATTTTCAAAAATGATGCAGGCCTGCCAACTCTCACGCATTGAGAGTGAGACACACGCAATTTCAGGTTATTGTCACGCCCTCACGCCTACACAGGATTTTCTCACACTAACAAAAATAAATAAATAAACCTTGAAAATGATGTTTAAATGCTGACCTTTTGCTCAAAAAATTGGTTAAAGTGTTCAGAAATTGCCTCAAACAGCACCACAGAGAGTCTAGAATCCAAATAATTTTGGAGGCCCTTGGGCTGTCCCTGAAACCCAAGCCGTTAGGGCTTCATGCTTCGCGCTCCCCTTACTTCTGATCAATTAAGCTCCATTGCCAAATTCTCACTCTCAGCTCTTACTCAAAGTTGGCAGCCCTGATGATACCTGCGCTCCATTGCAAAATGGAGCAATTTTAGGGCCTATCCAAATTTCATAGAAATACAAGTTTGCAGTCCTGTTCAGGGCTCCCAACCTTTTTTTTTTTACAAACCCTCAAGCTCATGGCCCACAAAATGCTAAATAGCTAAAAAAAAAATTGAGGGCGCGCAAATCGTGATTTGACCGGCGTAGGCAACGACTCTGTGGCAGTTCAACCAATTGTCTTCCAATTCAATCTCCCAAACCAATATAATTTCAATCTTTTTACATGTACAGTACTGTTGTGTCTCAACAACATTCATGAACATGGAGAATGAGCACACATATTGGAATATTTCTTATCAAAAACCAAACAGACAAACAAGCAACCAAACCAAAAACAAAATTATGTCCCTCTGAAAAAGCAATTGTTACATAGTGAGCAGCCACTGCAAACTGCTTTTTGAAGATCATTAGGCCTATAAAGTATAATCAGATTAATCATCTTTCTTGTCAACAGGACCTTTCTTGTTTCTTCAAATTATCAAGAGAAAAATATTAGATGGCAAAATGAACTATGGCTGAGACAAAAGGATGTACATGTATCAAGTTTAATATCCTCTAGTGGGGTCATTTCATGTCAAATCACCCAATGGGTTACACCCCACCCCTTTCAAATTTGCTCATATTTAGTATGTGGGGTAATTTAGGCTGAAAAAGCTGAAATTTTAAGTTTTAGCACCATCGGACAAACGGTTTTTGTGCTACCGCCCCCCCATTGTTTAGCAATTTTGGTCAAAATGGGCGTGGCCGCCAATTTTCAAATGACCATATTTCCACAACCTGTGGGCCAAATTTGTTAATCTTGGTTTCTTTGGAAAGGTAACGTCATAAGGAATCCAAATTTACCATTATTTTTCATGTTAAAGTAATTTGAAGTATGATGACCTTTTGACCTTTACTTTGAACTTGAATTTGACCTTGTGGATCACTTGACCTTGAGACGAACTTAGATGAAAATTAAACCCCAACATGTTTTCTACAAAATATCCAAAAATTGGGTGTATAATATTTTTTGTTTGATTTCCAGCTCATGTCAAAGTTGGCATACGTGTTGCAAAATGTGATATCCCTATACATGAACATACTTCAGGGACAAAAAAAAATCACGTACATGTATGCCAACTGTGACATATGAGCTAGAAACCAAACAAAAAATATTATACCCCCAATTTTTTGATATTTTGTAGAAACATGGTGGGGTTTAACTTTCATCCAAGTTCGTCTCAACGTCGGGTGATCCACAAGGTCAAATTCAAGGTCAAAGTAAAGGTCAAAAGGTCATTATACTTCAAATAACCCCGACATGAAAAATAATGGTAAATTTGGATTCCTTATGATGTTATCTTTCAAAAGAAACCAAGATTAACAAATTTGGCTCACAGGTAAATGGAGATTAGTCTATGTAATAGACGCTCGTTGAAGACGAGCGTCTATCACATGCGTGCAGATTCCACGATTACTTATGCAAGACGGCCGCGTAGATCGGGCCAAGTTTTGACCAATCAACAGGCGTCTACTATATCGTACAAGCAGTTCGGCTGGCTGGAAAACACAGGGCCAAGCAGCTGGTAGCAAACACTTTTTCCATAACCAGTTGGCAGCTGAACAAATGTGTCAAATTTGTCCTTGACAACAATGCTAATTGCACTTTTCTGCTTATCTGTTAGAGTTGAAAATGATGTTGTCAGAGAGCTAAGCACTTCCCAGAAACATCTTTCCATGTCTCTGTTGACAAAAGTTGGTTTCATGGAGGCCGCCATGTCTGCTGAGTCAGCTGACAGCTGTTGACTAATCAACATCCTCCGTCGCAATCTGGACGGAAAATGACTGTAAACGGCTGTGATTGGCTGATGTGCTGCGTTGCATAATATTTGCATGCACGCATGTATCAGACGTTCGTACGGAACACACGGCTCGCTCCGTAGAACGGGTGATACTCAGACTAAATGGAGATATGGTCATTTGAAAATTGGCAGCCACGCCCATTTTGACCAAAATTGCCAAATAAGGGCGGGCGGTAGCGCAAAAACCATTTGTCGATGGTTCTAAAACTTAAAATTTTAGCTTTTTCAGCCTAACTTACCCAATAAACTAAATATGAACCAATTTGAAGGGGGTGGGGTTTAAATTTTAAAAAAATTTGGGTGATTTGACACGGAATGACCCAGTAGGCACATTCAACAGACTAAAAACTTAAAAACACAAGAACTATTACGTCAAGTTTTAAGTATACAAAAACTAATACAAAAATGGGCAAAAATTCGGGGGGGGGGGGATGGGCCATTGTATCAAATGCAATGCTCCCCCCATTTTTCTCGTGAGAAACAAAAAATGTTGACTTTCAGATTATATTCAAACTTCCGACAGTCTAAAATGTATTAAGTAGTTCTGAATAATGGAGAACAAACAATACACACATTTTAAATGCACCATTTTGATGTAGGATTAATTCACCCAAGTGCACAAGTTTGTATCAGGAGTGCATTTGTATCATGAACAGCGCCCTCTAGTGTAATGAGGCACCCCCCCCCCCCCACTTAGAATTTCCACCCCCGAGCACTTTTAGGATTTTAGGTGATCCCCCATTACTCGCTGACCCAGATTTACGCCTGCTTTTTATGAAAAACTCTCCTGTGGTAAACCAGATTTCTGTGGTTTGATGGCCACTGTTCATTCATAACTTGATTGAGTGATTTCTGAAGGAAACGAGGCTAGAAAATAATACTGACACTCTTTTTTTTTGGGGGGGGGGGGGCGGTCTGTGTCACAGGATCAGAAAACCATTCATGCGGTTAACCTCCACAAGTGTTTTCCCTGGAAAGCCACTCATAACTGCATGGCAAAAACCTATTCTTTTGAAAGCATTATCAAAAGTTTCCAAAGATCATTGACTTCTTACAATGGTACCCACAAGTTTAGGTGGGGCCACAGCAATATAATCACAATGCAATATTGTACGTGTGGCCATGCACTTCTTATTTAAGTTTGAGCAAACATTCTTTTGATTTCGCACTTTTACAAATACAAACTTAAGCCTATTATGGGCAAAAGACACAATTTTTTTTTAATGATTTAAATTTTTGGGGGGTAAACACCACCCCAATGAAAACTTTCTCGCTATGCTACTACCCAATTACATTTGGTAGTATAATATTTCAGTCCAATTCCAACAAATTATAAGTTGCAGAAATGTCAGCTTTAATCACAACTCATGTCACAATCACATAGGATGAGCAACTACAAAGAAACTAGATGGCTTGTGATCACTTGTGATTGATCTGTGACAGTTGGTAAAGACTTCACTAAAACTCTGGGTTTTTCTCAAGCCTTGAAGAATAAGGGCGCAATATGAAAGTCTCTTGTTTCATCCTGCTTATGTCTCTATCCATGTCTGCATGCAAAGTCACATCATGCCTAAGAATGAGCTATCATGCACTATAAAATTGGAACACAGCTCAAATCCTCACTATGACCTGTAACCTAAAGAATGAAGCACTAAAATGTTGTAGTCTGGGAGTGGGAGTGCTGCTCTGTCAATCACAGAATTGTAGTTATCTCCAAAAGTTACCAAGTGCAGGTCATTACATGTACAATGCAAGTCAATCAAAGTCATCGTGAAAAACTATTCAAATGAATTATTCATTTGAATTGTTTGGTTGTGGTACCCGCTGCTGTATCAGATTCAAAGCAGCGAGCTGACCCCGTCAAGCTTGGTGATCGAGCGGTAAAACATCAGGAGGTAGTGGGTTCGAGTCCCACCTGAGTAGTTTGTGAGTTTTTTTCACAATCACTCGGGACAACACCGAGTATACAGTATTTATAAAAATAAGTCGGCAAATGGCGAAACCAAATATTGTATTGAAATGAACTTTGACAAAGACATTTCCGCAGTCATCTTTCATCCCCTAGCTGTTACGTGTGATTTGAGATGTGATTTGACTTGTGATTAACTAATGATTGACTTACGACAGACTTGACTACATTAGCCTACTCTAGTACATCAGACCCAAGGGCGGATCCAGGGGGGGGCCAAAGGGGGCCATGGCCCCCCCCCCCCAAAAACGAAACCAAATTTTTTTTTTTTTATGTGACATCGCAATAAAGGCAGGCAATGAGCACACCACCATCTTTTTCTCAAAAAACATTGGTAAAGTGGTCAGAAATTGCCTCAGATCGCACCACAGAGCATCTAGAATCCAAAAAATTTTCGGGGCCCTTAAGCGGGCCCCGAACCCCACGCCGTAATTTTTTTGACCCACTTTTTTGGGGTACCAAAATTTTTTTTGGCCCCCCCCCCAAAAATTGTGTTCTGGATCCGCCCTTGATCAGACCCTTCAGTAATCTTACCTTGATTCTGAACTTGGTAGATGACAGTCCTCCAGCGACCATTGTCTAAGATGTTGAATTTCTCCCGAATGCTTGGTATCAGTTCTTGCACCGTCATACAGCTGCCCAGCCAGATTGCTTTAGCCGTCATCTTACTACCATCATTGTAGTAGAATCTCAATGCACCTTCAAAGTTCATCCCCTGATACAAGGTTGAGTATATCATGACCAGAAGCTAAACAATTCTAGTCTTTTAATTACAGTAATTTGAAAGACAAACAAAGAAATTGACTGGAGCGAGGTTTGAACCTGCAACCTCTGGATTGCCGCTCCAATGCTCAACGAACGAGCTATGCAGCCCTATGTTGGCAGTTCCTTGAACAATGACATCGACAAAATGGGGAACCCCCAACACAAGGCTGGATAGCTCAGTTGGTAGAGCACCGGAACTGCAATCTGGAGGACGCAGGTTCAAACCCCGATCCAGTCAATTTCTTTGTTCAACTTACAATTCAAATAAAATAATATTCACTGAGCTGAAATATGAACATGTTAGGTTTTGAACATTATTTTTTGGATTTGGAATGGATTTATAACTGCAAACAAAAAATGCATAAAGAGCAAATGATCCTATAGGCCTTTAATTCCCCAAAAAAGGATAAACATTGGGAAAAAGGATTCAAGTTCATGTAGTGTTTGCCGACTTGCCGTTTAGCCAATTTGACAGAGTGCGTGCTTTTTTCTTAAAATGTTTTTGTAAATAACCTTCTAACAATTAATGACAGAGAGCATTATACTTTCAGGAATTGTTTGAACAAAATGTTTTGAAAGAAATCATGTACCCCATGCTCTTTAAAAGAATGGAAGTTTTTGTCCTAACAAATTTTCACTTGGTACGTTTCGTTTTAACGAAAAAAACTACTTGGAATAAGGAATTTCATTTTGCACACAAGCTAACCCTCCCTCCAAGAGCAGAATTATTGTCTGGCAGCCGATAATTCGATTTTTGTGAAGAAATAATTAAATTACAACATGTCAGTGGATTTTTTTCGTTTGATGTCTCATTCACAAGTGAATAATTAATATGTTTCCAGGAAAAAATAGCAATTAAAAAAAAAAAAAAATTCCAGGTGAAATTCGAAAATAGCATGGGGAATGCATCTTTATGAACCTGTTGAAAGCAGATCAAAATGTCAGTGACCATGGTTGATAGGCCTTGCCTTGTGGCTACCACTGCCTGCCCTAAAAGCTGTGATTTTTTTTTCAAAGACATGTTTTGTTCGGATTCAGTCATTATGTCAGCTATATGATATGCAAGGTTACAGGCTACTATTCAGTTGTCAAGAGTCAATGATTAATTGTATTTTTTTATTTATCTATCTTTGTGAAGGATGTAAATATATATCCACTCTCATCAACAATATTGTTTTTCTACCTTGGAACACATGCAGAGTTTATTTTCAAAACGTCGCCCATTTGAAAAAAGTGAAACATTGCACAGTTATGAAACTTTAAAGACTACTACCGATATAACAGCCGTTTCTAAACTTTATTTTTTATCTTATTTGTATGGCTCTTTTTTACTAACTAAATTCAGAATTAAGGGCGACAAGAGGCGAAAGCAGTCCACTAAAAATGTACAGGGCTAGAAACATTTGGGTCATTTTCTCTCAATTTATCCAGGATTTTTTTTTTTTCTTAACAAAACCCCACTGAAATCGTCATAGGCATTACTTTCTGGCCTAAGTGGGTTTTTTTCAGGCACAAACTTAAAACTGCAAAATTTGCTTTCGTCTGGAGTGTGCAAGGTCGAAGGAATTCAGCAGGGCTCCTTTCCAAATGTTAAATGTGTGCCTCAGGGTACCATCCACAATATTTAGGGCCGAATCGCGGTGCTAAAACCAGGGGAGCGAGTGACCACTGATAAAAATAGCTGAAAACAGCTGAAAAAGGTGTAAAAAAGCTGAACTTTGGAAATCTCCTATACTTTTGTACAAAGCAAGTGAGGAAAAAAAGCTGAAATCCAAGACAAAAAAAGCTGAGATTTCATACCCCTGTAAAATGCACCGGACTGAATCACAGGCTGAATCACAGGCTGCGACATTGTTTTTAACTCAGAATGTTAAAGCTGTCGAAACTGACTTTGGGAAGCCAGGAGAGAGTGCAAATGCATTTATCGGGTTTTGGAATAAACTCTTCACTTTGTTCAGGAAGAGAGGAAATATTTAAATATCTGTGTACACCAACATTTTCAATCGGCATCAATTTTTTTGGGTCAATGGAAGTCATCCCAAAACAAGAATGCAAATTCCCCCCCTCCCCCGAATTTCAAATACAACAACCACTGGAATGCTGTCAATTAGACAAAAGGACAGGATAGGGTATACGGAGGGACAGAGTCTAACACAATGACGGTTTCATTTATGAAGACAGATTATCCTTTGTAAAATCATGCCCATTTGACATTCATGAAGGCAAAAGTCTGAGTATCCGACATTCAGGTGTGTAGAGCCACGGTCGAACGTCTTACATATCCTGACATCCTAGTCAACTTAAGAGGTGTGATGCCATTTAGATCAGAAAGGTGGACTAAGCTGTTGATTGGTCAATTCAGATGCCATGTTTTTGTAATACAACAATGGGTTACCGAAGACCCGATATCGAAGGTGCATGCTGAATGGTCAGAATCTCGAGGTCAAGACGCAGTCTTGTTTGGATCATTAATTGCCGAATCTGCTTGCATATCATAGGCCCTTGTTGTGCAAGGGGATAGTCCACAGACTTGGCAAAATTAAGGTCTGAAACGTTTTACAGAATATTTAAGGGAAAGAATGTTGCATCCTGACGCCACTTTTCTCATCATAACTTATCTAAATGAAGGGCAGTCATTGCAAAAAGTTGAAACGACATGAATTTGGGACTGAGAAACATTTCCAATTTATAAGATGGAATTTTTGCGCTTGGGTGATAAAAATCAAGTTAGGTTTTGCCCTTCACCGACGTTTAAACACTGTATACTCAGTGTGTTACCTCCCGAGTGAAAGTTGGAAAAATCACTCGGGTGGGGCTCGAACTCACGACCTCCTGCTTTCTAGTGCAGCTGTCTTACCACTCAACCACCGAGCTAACGGGATCGGTTGGCCAGTTTCTAATTTTGTTAGAAAATACTTTAAAAATGAACTCGACTCTCCATAGATTTTGTACACAATCAAAGAAGTGGCGTCTAAATACTACATTCTTTCCTTTCACAAATTCGCAATAATCTGAAAATATTTAAACAAAAATTGCCCCAATATTCTTTTTTGGTTGCAACTCCATTTCAAGCTCTGCCTGAAAGTGTCTAGTGTGACAGAACTTGCAATTTTCGTTTGACTTTCTCAATTTTCTCACCTGTGTCATTGTGACCATGAAGGCTTGCCCACATTTGCCCTGGTTGTAGGCAGTGATCCTCTGCTCCAGTCTCTCCCTTTCTCTACACTTCTCTGCTAGAATCAAATCCTCTCCAGCATCCCGTAGACATGGTTCCCTTGCTTCATTTAGGAATGCCTCGTTTAGTCGGTTCAGATGGGCAACCACCTGGGGTAGAAATCCAACACAGCAGAAAAAAAAGGCAAAATTTGTTCATCAAACAAAAAGCTTTCATGACCAAAACTGCATAATTTCATTGATAGTCTATTTGAATTTATCTGAATAAGTTGAGCAAAGAAATTGAGTGAGGTTTGAACCTGCAACCTCTGGATTGCCACTCCAGTGCAGTGCTCTTCCAACTGAGCTATCCAACCCTTTGTTGGCTGTTCCCCCTTAACAGTTTCCTTTTGTAGTACATTTGCAGGTTTATTTATTATAACTCTCGAATTATCTCATGTAGGCCTACATGTACGTTTAAAATAGGAATGTTGGGTGATTTCTGGTGGCTAAAGAGAGAGCAGGGGTGGATCTAGCATTCATGAAATGGGGGGGGGGGGGATGACATTAAGGGGGGTTGAATGAAAGTGTGCTGGAGGTCTTTTGCTAAGGGGTCCAGGGCATACTGGCCTCCCCCTCTGGAAAATGTTCAAATCTGCGATGCTTTTTCCTGCAATCCAAGGCAATTTATGAATACATTTTGGAACTTCAGCATTCCGTTTATTATTTTTGGCCCCATTTTACTAATATCATATTAGTCAGTGACTGAATGGAGGGGGGGGGGAGGGGGGGGGGGGGGTGCAACCGCCCCCGTCCCGCTCCACCATTGGAGAATGACCTTTATCCAGTTTTGTTTTTCATGTTCTACCTGCACTCGGGTGTAAATCTTGTCCGAAAATTTAAGACTCTCAATACTGAGTATGAGAGTCCCAAAACTTTAGGTATTGAAAACATGCAAAGCAAGAAAAAAGACTGGCACCAGAAACAACCAGTCCAACACAGCTTCAGTACTGCATCAATCAACTGTGCCAAATAGAAACAAATTAGGAACTAGTCTCTATTTACTACACATTTCTCCATAGTCAGCCACCAGACTAATGACACTGAATGAAGAGGTCAGTCTTTGCAAACAGTTGGACCATGGTTTGACATGTACCGGTCTAGTCTTTAGCCTCATTTTGAAATCACTTGACTTCCCTCTCATGTGCAAAATATTGAAGAAATGTCTCCTTTAGAAATTGAATCGAGTCTGCAAATGTGATTGGTGAATTACTGAGGACCATTTCTTTGCCCAGTGAAAATTTTTGAGAAATTTGCTGGCTAAAGAGTGAGTAAAGTTGGCCTGATTTAGTTTTGATTTAAAGCACTCCAGGTCCCAGTCTGGTGTAAATCCATACCTGGGGGTCAGTCAACAGACTGATACGGTCCCTCTTCTGCTGGAACAAGCCCCCAGAAGAACCTCGCTTGCCACCCAGCCCGCTGCTCAGGCGAAGTCGCTCGATAATTTCTGGGTCCATCTTTGTATTCCATCTGCAAGCAAAGCCCCAGAGTGTTGGTTGTTGCAAAATAATTAGGCTCCACCATTGGATAGCAGTGTTCGCAAACTTTCCATAATTCAAAGACCTTTCTGAGAAGTTTTTCATTAATAATATAAATTTTGGGGAAGAAAATATGTCCAATAACTGATACATGATGGGAGAATACTGAAATATAAATATTGTATTCAACATTCTTCGGGGGAATGTGGTTTTCAGAGTGAAATCATACAAAGACATTTTCAAGACCTTTCACAGATCTACAATCGTACTCTCCCGATAAATTGTTAAAGGGGCACATTGTCCTGAAATCGCCCCCATTTTTATGTTTAAGATTGTTTATACTTATCCTATTTCACAGGTCTGTTTGAAAGGAAACCAAAGGTTTACTTCTGATGCAGCCGACATTTTGTGGTATATATGCATACGTATTTCCAGCCATAACTATAAGTTTCCTTGGACATACATTGCCTCCAGTTTGGTCAGATGATACCGACGGTACGCGTCATGTGTGTGTGTGTGTGTACGTGTATGATAATTACATACAACTTAAAGTGGACAAAGTTTCCTCTTTCTGTCTATTTTTTTTGTACATATCCCATAACCAATCAGTCATTCTCTGACTACAATGCACACTTGCTTTTGCCTAGAAATTGAGAGAAAATCATAGGCCCACATGACGTAGGACAGCCTTTTAAACTTTAAGTAACTGTGAATGTTTATGACAATTTTGATGAATAAGTGGAGGGGGATCCTCCACTGTAAAGCCCATAGACCTTAAATAAATATGAAGTTGTGAAACTTACCAAATTTCAGCAGTCCTTGTCAAACTAAATCCTTTCCCAAAAAGGTTATGATATGGCATTACCCCACACGTTATCATGAGCAAGTAACCTATACCCAATCAAGGAATATAAGCAGAAATATTGCCCCCAAACTTTCTTTTCCATGTGACTGATTCACCTAATGGCCTACTTCAACTTTACAAGCCAAGTTTATTCACGTGCAATCAACCATACAACCAAATCCGTGCCAAGACACGCATGATCACTCACGTTTAGCCATTTATCAAGAAATAAATGAGCAACCTTGATAAGCGAAGGACAAATAAGGTGGAGTAAATCCATTTCTTCCATTGTTCAGTGAATTTATTGTTGCGTCTGGCCACTAACAGCTCGGCGGCATCAAGGCTTGAAATTTCAAAAGGTCTATCACTCAGTGTCAAGGCAGATCAGAGGGCTGTACAAAGCTTGAAAATGCCCTTTATGGTCAAAATTGGTCACTCGCGCGTTGCATTGTCACCTTACTACAGTACAACGTGCTGTTTTGTTGGCTCGGCAGATTTCGCGGGAAATAAATATACTAAGGTCCAAAAACAGCGCCACCGTGCGACATCATTTACTTTAATTTAAAGGGGCATCCTGGCAGCCGTTGATAATTTAAAATACTTCCCTCTTTTCAAGCACTGAAAGGTGACGAAAAGTTTGGAAAAATCCGTAAAAATCCAACTTAAAGAAAAGGTATCTTAATTAATTTGAAACATATGAAGACACTGACACGTACACAAAATATTTCTTGATGGAAATTAATTTTCTTTGTGGACGATGTATTTCTCAAATACAAATATTGTCATAAAAAATAAATGCCAAAAGTTTAAAAGGTTAATTGAAAATAAATGTATTACAGCAGCAAAAGTATAAGGCACATAATGGTTTTTCTGACAAGACAAAAATTGAAATACATTTCATATGAAAAAAGTGAAAGCAAAGATATTTCAAAGGGAGCTAGCAAAATGGAAGACCATAAAAAAGTGTTCACAAATTTTGCATTAGTTTCTAAATACACCTGCTTAGTGCTATTGATATGAAAGTAAAAACTACTAATATAAAAAATGGTTTAAATTTATTATGACGTCAAATACCATGTCTAGCTGCCACATTCACAACTAATTTATGATTAAAATATTCATAATTCCCTTACTTCACTTTTTTTTTCATTTTAATTTGCCATCTCGACACAAATTTGCACTTCAATAGAGCCATTACATTGCATATATATTGATTAGCCTCACTATTTTACATTTTCAGAACATTATTTAAAAAACAAAAATTACAAAAAAGTAAGCAAATACCTGGTGGGGAGACATCGGACATTAGGGAGTTCTCCCTAATGTCACAGCTCAAATTTAGAGGAAAAATGTTGCCATCGCAAATAGGCTACTTCGACTGCTCGAAGTCCAAAACATAAATATACCGAAATTCAGGGGGTAGAATAAGGTAAAATTGGGGATAGGTGACATTAGAGATGGAAACATTTTGTGCACAGGTCTATGGGACTGTTTCCCAAATTACCCATTTCCCGTAATTTAAATTGTCTAGAAATTAAGCCACAATGATCCGAAAAGGAAATACCTGTTCACGGATCATACAATAGTTTGCAAAGTTCAACTGAAAAAAAATCACAACATTAACACCATATCCTTTTGTTAATAGACTGATCAAATAAGGCCTCCCCCCCCCCACCAGACACAGCTTAGATTAGTTTCTGGTATGCAAAATACATGTGCGCACGTATGACATGCATCATAGGCGTAGCCGAGGGGGGGGGGGTGGAGAGAAGTGGGGTATTACCCCCCCCCCCCCAATATTTTGTAAAGACTGCTTTGTCCATTCAAATGCCCTTTTTTGAACGGGCTTACCCCCCACCCCAATAATTTGTAAAGCATGCCCTTTTTGTTAAGAAGTGGCCTTTTTTCCTGAACAAGTGCCCTTTTTTCAAAAGAAGTGGTGCCCTTTTTTGTGGCATCTACTGTTTTGGGTGCCTTTTTCTGAATTTCTCACATGTATCGCCCTGAAAAGCACCATATATTGGCCGTTGGTTTCACCACGGATGTGCAAGTGCCCTTTTCAAAAATTTTACCCCCCCCTCAATAAAAATGACCGTGCTATGCCACTGTGCATGGCTGTGTTTTGCCCAAGTACGCATGTGGGCGAGTTTCAATAGATTTCTGTATTACTGAAATGACTGAAAGCATACAGATATCGATACAAGGTTTTAAGCACAAAAACAAAAACAAAACAAACAAAAATTCACAATTCCAAGAAAACTTCCAATTTACATGTTAAAAGAATGGTTAATTCTACTGTTAATAGTCAGATTCCTACATAAAGCTTAAGAAAAGTTTAATGTACATATTTGCATAGCCAAAATATGTTGGCAACATTCAATAGAATTTTCTCTTTCCTGTAAAAAAACCCACAAAAAGAACAGTATTTTCTAACTGGAATAAATAAACACAAAATAACAAGACATGTGGATATAATACTGTTATTGATTAACAAATTAATGCGATAGTTACACACAGTGATAATTAATGAGTTAATTAAATGGGTGATAACATGAGTGTAATATAAAAGCAATTCAACATACAAATATATAAAAATTCAAATACAAGTAACAGGCATTAGTTCTTCTCGGTTATGGAAGTTGAAATCTTTAAAGTTGGTATATACGTGCTTTTTCAAAATTTCGATTTTCTTTACCCGAACAAAATTGAAAGCAATATAATGTCCTGCAACAAATAAATTTGCTTGTTTATTTTTGTAGGCCTTTATACAGTTTTAAAAGTGCTTTTAAATTGCGCGCTCCAGTTCAGAAATTGTGCACACTATTCTGAACGAATAATTCAAAGGTTGAAATTAATTAGTTGATTACTTGTCGAAGGCTGAATTTTTTTTGGTGATGTCTCATTGGAAAGATCATAACTAATGTTTTGCTAGAAAACTATCAATTCAATTTGAAAAACTATTTTTCAAGGTGCCACACCCAAGAAAGCACGTACACACCAACTTTAACTCTTTTTTGGAGTTACTTTTGTTGGGGCTTGTTTTTCAAAACTTATAGCACCAAAAAGACAAGCACAGCCTTTTCCAGTGTATTTTCCTCACAAAGGAAGACATATGAAAAAAAAATGTGCATATTTGCACAAAGAGGTTAAAATATTTCTATTGAAATTCGTTGTTTGTTGTAAGGTTTCTACACATGTGTATGGGGTTAAATAAAATACACAATTTGTGCTGGAATATTAAATTTGTACACACAAGGTGTAGATTTTTATTAAGAAATTTGTCCATCAATAAAAAAGCAAAAATTCACTTTGTTGGTCAATTAATATATATATTTATGTCATTGGTGCAACAGGACAACTTTCTTCCTGCATCTTAAGTGGGACTAGCTTGAGTAAAACAAGAGTTTCAGTACACAATCCAAATTTTTTATTTAAATCCAACAATCTTATTGACTAGTGATGACTTCTGACGACTCTCAGTTACAAGTGATTCTGTTTCGGATTTTTTCCTTTTCATCTGAACGGTAAGCAAATAATGAATGTGTATGAGTGCAATGGTAAGAGAAACTTCATGAGGTATCAGATGGAATGTTCCATTCCACGAAGCGAGAATGGAACATTCCATGAGGCGAAAATGGAACATTTCAACTGTCACTGAATTATATTCTTCTTTCCATTGCACGAATGTGAAGCATTCATTATTTGTTTAATACAACGCCCGAATAAATCCTCGTCAGCTGATTGGTAACTCGTAAACTGCAGTTTGCTGGTACTATGAATGTACAGCATCAGAGCCATCGCAGCTGGGTTATAACACAACCAATAGTGGGACCGTGGAATGGCACTTCTAGACTGGTTCCCTGTCCCTCCATTGTCCTTTGGCCTTCAAATGTAGGGACAGGTAGAAAATGGAAAAGACCATTTGTTGTTGTTTTTGTAATAGTGAACGTGGTCGCTGTACTTATGCCATTTTCTGGATACGAACTGTAGAAATACATGTATCACATTTATTAAAGAAATTTATCAACTTTACTTTTATCTAAAAAGTTTACGATTGTAAAAATGTAATATTTGTTAAATGTAAAAGGCCAAATAAAAAATATACCTGTTTCTCGTCCCCACCCGCATCCTTTTTTTCTATTTTTTTTCAAACCGCATTTAATTTTTGTTATTTTTATATTTTTACTTTTTTTTTACGGCAAAATCTGCCGTATTTTCTGATACTTTCACCATCACAAATATGTTGTTTCCAACATAGATGAGTAGCCATTTTCCAGGTTAAAAAGCTAGTCTTAGAAAAGTGATGGCCTTTTTGAGAATAGCAGCATCTGCTGTCTTGGAAACAATCTCGCAAAAATTGGTCAACATTTGGAGAAAAAAAAAAGACTTTCCGCTATCTTGGATCCGTCATCCGCAAAAAAAGAAGGGCCCGCATCCTCCTTTTGTCAAAAAGTTCGGACGAGAGATTACCCTTTTTTCATTTGGCCTTATAATGTCAATAACCTGTTCATACAATGAAAGTGTGTCATTACAGCGACTCGGTGTCTCAAAAATCAGGCCTTGTGGTATATTTCTGCTTAAACTTGTTACATGTATCAATGTTAATCAACAGATGATGTGTGACTTATCATCAGCATCTACTCTCCTGATCTTCGCCTTTGTCTATCTTCTTGCGGGCGTTCAGCCTCTCAAAACGGAAGTTTTCGTAGTGGATGCAGTGCGTGACGTCCTTCAGGTCTTGCAAGTGTGTTCGGATCAGCATGTCGCGCAGGTTGGCAAATTCACAGTGGTTGTGGTTCTCAACTGAAAGTAGGGAGGGGGGGGGAACGGGGGAACGGTATATATATTTTTGTGATTTTAAAAGTCACACTTTTTGGAGGTTAGATTATCAATGAACACATAAAGATTATTTCATATATAAAATTTCTCAGCATTTTCAAAACTATAATAGTTGAGACAGCTATGACATATGCAGCAATTTACATAAACTCTACGATTTATTTAAAATTTCTCCAATAAACCACAAAAGGAAACGTACTAGGTGCTTTATAATGATGTTAAAATTGAACAAAGAAATTGACTGAAGTGGGATTTGAACCTGTGACCTCTGGATTACCGTTCCAGGAGCTCGACCGCCTGAGCTGTCCAAAAACACAGCACAGCACACAGCACTGGATTAATAATCCAGAGGTTGCAGGTTCAAACCCTGCTCCAATCAACTTCTTTATTCAACTAAAATAAATATTTATTTAAACACGTTACTGTTACATATTTCAGTTTGCAGTGTCATTCTTGTTTAACAAAAAACTCCCCCCCCCCCCTTCTTTGAAGGGAATATACAACATTTGCTTTTGCTGTTATTTTCAGAAATGGATGGATTTGAGGGTTAGTATTTTATAGCAAATGTGATGCGATCAAGCTAAATGAGTCATTTGTCGGGAATTTTTATTTGGAGATATCGGCCGAAATAGGGCCACTTCATCCTAGCACTTCATCACATCTCTTGGTGTTCCAACTTCATAATTTTTTAACTAAAGATGATATCAGCATGCGGTTTTCACAGTAGTAATGCTGAGATTGTGCTCTTTTCAAATCTGTAATAACACTTTTTTGACCAGGGTCGACAAACGACTCATGTAGCTTGATTGCATCACAAATATTGTTACTTTGAACCGTTATAAATTTTGTGTTCACAGATGCTGGAAAAACCAAGCAAAAAAGGCTGTTCTTGGTCTGGTTCCCTGACCTTACTTCAGACGAAACAGAGAAATTTATAGACATCAGGGCATTGTCAGGTCAGGGAACCAGACTAGCTGGCTTGCACCCATTCACAGATGTGTAACTGATTGCAAACCAAATGCGGACAAGCTAAATTCGGTAAATTGGGGGCAGTGTTTGAAAAAAGTCAGTTTTTATCCAACAATGCTCGGCCAACCATAACCATTGTTGGTAATGATTCAAAAATTCCAGTTTTCTTGAAAATGACAGCACACAGGTGCCACGATTTCACAGGATGCTTGAGGCTATTATTCACTTAAGGTCAAGTGAGTTATTATAACAATAATTTGGTAGTTTTGTTTTTTGATGTTTGCAAATGTTATGTCAATGTCCAATGTCAATCTTTCTGTTTAATTTTTCGAATCGTTGGCTTCGTTTCCCTCTTCAGATTTGTCTCTGGCTGAAGAGCCTTTAATGCTTAAAGCCCGAGTCCATCATTTGCAGCTATCCAAAAAAGTAACCGGCGTAATTATTGTTGAAAAACATACTGGTTGAAAGATAGTAAGGGGACTAAACTCCCTGTGAAATTATCCTTTCTGGCAAGCTCTCATTTTGAAGAAATCAACGAAAGAAGGCATTTCCAACGGTGCTTCTTAAGAAGCACCGTAGGAAAATTTAAATTAGTTGTTCGTTTTGTTTTTCGGCGCAGCGCACACAAGCATTGGAACGACGCGCGCGGTTGCTATAATTCGTTGGATCAGTGCGCAACATCGCGTAAAGCTGCAATTCAAAACAATTCGAAACATGATTTAGCAACTTTTGATTTTAAATTGAGATCCTAGAATGCTGTTTTTCTCGGAATATGAAGCTGAAGCTGAGCTGAAACTTCATCAAGTAAGTTGTTCAGTATCTTTCATTAGATTTTGAACACTTTTGTTGCTTCAAACGAACAAAATGCACTGATTACAAATGATGGACTATAGCTTTAATGAACATACTACATCAAGTTTTCAGGGGCCCAGATGTGATCAGAGCCTGGCCTGGCCTGAGTGGTTCTTACCTTCTATGAGTCCCCAATTTGTCAGCCGTCCGAGCACTTCCTTGCCGTCCACCTGGTGGGACTTGTCACTGCCAACCACGGCAAATGGCATCTGGTCCTGATAACCAAACCATACCACAAATGTGAAAACTTTAATCCCAGCAGTACCCTGACCCTCTTGGGTAAAAAAAATTAATAATAGCCAGTGATTTTGAGTGGATTTTAATTAACCCTGGCACAGGACAGATTGGCGATCAGGAAAATTGCTACTGACTGTGACTCACCCTGATGCGTGTGTTGATGTTATCGTCTTCTTCGTCTGTTTCAAGTTCTTTCATTGGGTACGTCGATATGTCAGCCTCGTTCAAAGCTTGCTTTATCTGATGACGGAATCAAATTTTAATTGCCATTCAAACAAAAATGCTTTATCAGACCTTGTGACATGTATTTTGCTGGGAAATAAATGCCTACTGGTACTTTCAATGAAATTCCGATTATACTTCCCTGAAATTGGCCCTTTTTTTTCTTTAGCTTTAAAATAGCAAGTTGACCATTTAAGCATCCCTGCAGATTCAACCTAACTTGGGCGAAGAATTCCGGGGGATATGAGGTGGGGGACATATGCTGCCAATGGAGGGGGAACCAATGACATCTCCACACACCCCCCCCCCCCCTCCAAAAAAATATATGATACATTGCAGTATGTTCTAATTACACTGAAGTGCATAAAGATTTAAAAAAAAAACAACTAAAAACCTCTTACTTACATTTTCATAAGTAATAAGTTTCTTTAACCTAAATATTGTTCCTACTGTTCATCCACAATGGATGAATGGATATGTACATGAATGTATACATACATGTGTGTTTTACAAATGCTACTCTTTGACAGATGATGTCCATCCCTCCCCCTTTGAATTTCTGAACCAGTTTTGTAGTTGAGTCCATTACAAGTTAATGACATGTCTGATCACAAGTCAATTTACAAGTCTCGATACAAGTAACAAGGGATGGACAATTACAAAGGAAAACCTTTGTCACTGTGCATTTGAATAGTTTGTAACTTGACTTAGGACTGGATAACTTGTGAGGACTTGTGAAGACTTGTGGGGACTTGGGAGGATTTGGGAGGACTTGAGGTCTTGGGAGGACGTGGGAGGACTTGGGAGGATTTGTGAGGACTTGTGAGTATGTGAGAGGAATTGTGAGGACTTGGGAGGATTTGTGAGGACTTGTGAGTATGTGAGAGGAATTGTGAGGACTTGTGAGGACTAGAGATGGACTTGTGAGGACTTGTGAGGACGTGTGAGGACGCGTGAGGACTTGTGAAGACTTAAATACGACTTGTGAGGACTTAAGAGGACTTGTGAGGACTTGAGAGGCTTTGGAAGACTTGGGATGGACTTGTGATGACTTATGAGGACTTGTGATGACTTGTGAGGACTTGACAGGACTCGAGAGGACTTCCGATGGACTTGTGAGGATTTGTTAGGACTTGGGATGGACTTGAATACAACACTTTCTCAAGTTGTTGGTCCCCCCAAGAATTTGCTCTTCTGGTTAGTATCAAAGACGGAAGACCAATTTAAATTAGTTACGTATTTGTAAATCTCACCCTGGCTTTGAAGTGTTCTCTCTCCTCAATGGTCAGCGTGTCAGCCTTGGCAATGATGGGCACTACGTTGACCACTTTGTCCAACCTCTTCATGAACTCAATGTCCAGTGGTTTCAGGCTGCAAGCAAAGAGAATACAAGCTTTCAGGGAATTCAGTGAAAGATCATCACATTTCAATCACTGACCAGGACCATGTTGAATCCAACAAAAAATTAGCATATAGTATTGAATTTACTTTCACTGGTGAAAGATTCCTTTGGTGGTAATTTTTCTTCTAGTGTGCTGTACAGGGTAAGTTAATCTAAGATTAGTTGTGCAGCCGGCCAGTTCTCAAAACCACACTTCGATCTTGTGCATTTCAGGCAAAAAGTTTTCATTAGCCACTAAACCTTACCCATGGCCCGTTGGAGCAATGAAGTACAGACACACATGAACTCTGGAGTCTGGAATCTGCTTTTTCCGGCTGACGTTGATTTCTTCTGACAGGTACTTCTCATATTGCTCATTAATGTATTCTAAGATTGGCAGCCAACTGGAAAAAAAACATTAGAAAAAAATGTTATTGAAATTCGAAACGTCATTCCATAATTGAATTTGGTACGGACAACTCTTTCTATTCTTCAGTGTAGTCGAGTGATTTTTTCAAATCATCATTTGATAAAAATCTGTGATATGGAGCACATTGGTATATAGTGGGTAGCGATTATGACTCGCGATAAGAGCATCAGGGGCTCAAATCCTGCCAATGGCCATATATGTGTCCTTGGGCAAGCCACTTTACCCCCACCCAGGCATATAAATGGTACCGGTATTAGCTTGGGAGTAAGCTGCGATAGACTGGCATCAACTCCTGACGAACAGAAATATTCTCGGTTGTTTCATGCCAAGGAAACCGAACAGCCATATTGGCTTGCGACATTATCTCTAAACAGAACATCAGTGACCAACAAACCTACCAGTTTTCATTGTTAATATGATCACCAAAGCCGGGCGTGTCTGTGACTGTCAACTTCAGCCTCACACCATTTTCTTCAATTACTGCAAAATCAAACAAGAAAGCCCAAAAGAAATCAAAACACTGGAAGGATAAAGCAGTGAGCAAACTTGACTTTTAGTGCATATGTTCATACCCATTGCACAGCTGAATCAAAGGCAGACTTGTTGAAAGCAGGAAACACTTTGACCTATAAGCTGTGTTGTAGTTGAGACCTTTTCCCAGACCTCACACAAAATGTTATCTAATGAAACATCCACACAAAATGTTATCTAATGAAACATCAGATGATGAGAGTCAACCCAATGTCAAAGAGAACAGCACCTGATTTCATGAAACTCATCGTAAATTACGAAACATCATAGTGCAGCGACATGTTGTATCCCTACGATGTGTCGCAGCTGCAATGCATCCTGCGCTACATTTCACAAAACATGTTGTTAGTGTGACGTGCGTAGGTGTATTTACAGCACAACACCGTGACTGTTATATGTATTTATTCAATGTACAGTAAATAGTCATCTGATATTCAGTAAAGAGTCGTCTGATCTCCTCTCAAAAAGGTTTAAAATGTAAAACAAAATGGTGGATGTATGATGCAGTCTTAAAGGAAAACAAGCTCGACGTGGACTGTTAGCTATGTTGAAATTTCAACTGCAAATTCCAGGCTAATTTATATTTTCTTTGCTGCATATTCCATTTACAATTTCACACACATTGCTTCGGTATTATAGTCTCGTTTCTTTCATTTTTATCGCATAAAACTGGCTCAGAAAAGAACGCTTCTTATTTTGCGATGACCACTAGACGCGTCGTAACTTGCGACAGGGTTTAAGCCGTTATCAAGGAACTTACGACACGTTTAATACATCGTAAGTTTTGTGAAATGGATCATACGATGTGTTGCAAGTTGCAACGTGTTAGTTGCAAGAGTCATAGAGCTTCTTGAAATCGGGTACAGACTCACTCTCTGTCAATCGTCCGGGGTTTTTTTTTATGGGGGGGGGGGTTCTTTAACTGTAAAATACATTCTTAGTTTAGTGAATAAATTTGAAAATATAAATATGCATAAGACAGCTCAGCACAGATTGTGCTACCTCATTTAATCCTTTCTATGATTGGGGAAAAAACAATAGGCCTGTGACTTTTTACACATATTTTTCAAAACAATTAATCTCTCAATTCTTGGTCGTTTTGTTTCAAACGGTGCCTGATGCTCGCGCATATGTGTGTACGTTCGTCATGCATACTTTGCGCCATACGTGTAGGCACATTGTGTGCGTGTCCCCTACTGGAGCTCTCAAGTTGGTTAAAAAGCACCATCTAACGTTTACGCACGGAGTCCACACTTGCATTCCTAAAAGTTACAAAGATCATGACCTTTCGGAATTGTAGTTTAGCACCTGTTGTGCAGGTTGGTCACTTAGAAACTAGGGCTCATTTAAGATAAGCAAAGGAAGCTTGTCTTATTACCAGGAAATGGTCAGTTACAACATGCTGACTAAGAATTACACACTTGATTATATTCATAGCTGACAAGCTAGTGGTGTGCATATACAGTTAGTATGGGAAAGGGGTAACCTATTAAAGTAAAACACGAGTACCCGGTACCCGTAAAACAAACCCAACCCCAAACTTAAAATCTCGGAAGTTGTCTGAAGGGTTTTATACCTTTACAGCATAAACTGCAAATTACGCGAGCATCATTTGTTGCGCGTTAAAATGCACATCAATGTGAAATCTGTTTTGTTTTCCCATGTAGCTTGGTTTTCATTTTGAAAATTCCCTACAAATGGCATTCAAAACCACAGAGGACATGGACAGGCAACGGCCTTGGCTTCTGCTATCTTATTTGCCGCTACGTGCTTTTGCTGTGCTGACCTCCCCTATAGTTTTATTGGCCTACTTCTCCTGCACACTCATGCATCACGCTTAACGCAGCGCCCAATGGGTACGTGCGTACAGGTAGATATTTAAATAAGGTTGACCCCTATGTCATGTGTCAACCTGAAATTGAGGCACTGGCCAGTATCAGACTTTAGATGGCTATCCGCAATAATCCGCCACTTTGAGCCTGTGTTCAGACTAATTGAAGGCCATTCAAAAGTGACTCCGCGTGGGCCTCGTTCTCTGCGCATGTAGGTGGGTGCGTACATGTGTACATTGTCCAGTCAGTATACTGAAATCAGTAATTAATACCAGCACTAGTTCGTTACCATGACTAATTGACTGCACTTCCACAGTCTTTGGAATGATGAGCGCAGGATCCTTCTCCGACTGCATGCATGACCTCCGGCTGACCTTTGCCTTGAAGAGTGTGTTGACTAATGTGGACTTGCCTAGACCGCTGGAACCTGCAGTTAACCACAATTAATAACGACAGATCAAGAAAGAGTCAGACTTAACTATTTGTTATATTTTCACAAGTCCGGTTGATAGATTTGACATTAAACATTAACATCTATATGTAGTTTCTGTTGGCGTGTTAAACACACTTAAGCCAGTCATTCCTGTAGGTCTACCACCCAAAGCTGCACTGTCTGTTACTGCCCTGTACTGCCCAAAACCACTCAAAACCAACCTTTAGCACTGCGCTAATTCTTTCATTGTTCAAAATTCCCACGTATCGAAGTAATTGTACCTATGTGTGATGCCTATGCTCACAGTCAATCCAAAACATAACAGCTGAATGGTCCTGCCTTTATAAATTAAATGAATTTTTAGTACGGTACAAAAGGTACACTCCAGATCAACCATCAGCTAATCAAACAAATAATTTGGAGTTCAAAATTAAGAGGGCTCTTTTGAGGAGAGGGTGTCATTTGCTGACATGTATGTCTGATCCCCAAGTAAACATTTTGGATAGCTCATTGGCCATTGCACAGTGTACAATCAACTGATGCCATACGCTTATTTCCAGAGAAAAATTTCTGTAATTTTTGTTTTTGGATACCGTCCGTACAATAAGGGTATACGTACAAATAAAAATGAAACATATAGTCGCTTTAATAAATTTAGGGTACACATTTCTCCTGTCCCTGTTACATCTGACATCTATTGATTTCTTACTTCCGATGCACTCTTAATGCAGTTGTCCTCCTAGAGTCATAACGGATAGCAAACTTCCTACCCAACAAATAAATAGTTGTCTGAAGTCATACTTGATACTCAGGCAATTTACAAAGTACCAAGGTAACAGGGACAGGAAAAATGTCACACTTTGGACCCTAAATTTATAGAATGACCCACATGTATTTACAATTACAATGTTATGAACGTGGTTATATAGCAGACGGGGATGTCACTTTGAACAGCCAATGACCTGTTCAGATTTTGTACGATCAGTGGTGCTTACCTACGACCATGACGTTAAACTCAAACCCCCTCTTGAGGGCCTTCTTCCTAATCTGCTCCTGTATGGTGTCAATGCCCACGTAACCTTTGACCTCCGTCTGTAGGCGGCCCCAGTTGGTGGTCTCCGCCATAGCCTCTGACATAATCGCTACAAAGTCTGAAAACTTCACCACACCTGGATACAAGGAATAAAATAGAAAATGGAAAGAAACAATGGTCATGAATATTCATGAAAGATATGGAAAAAACCCATAATCTTGATCCAGCCAATATTCAAAGTTGCATTCCCCGTGCTATTTTCCTGACAAATAGATTCCTTTTCTAAATTGCTGTTTTTCTAGCAACACACAAATGATTCACTTTTGATACTCCCCCTAAAATTGGCCCATATTTAACTATTGAATTATTAATTTACAATTTCAAATTTTTAACTCCCACAATAATTCCGTTCTTTTGGAGTAGGCTGGTTCCCGCCCCACAATCAGCATTGATAAAGTATGATCCAGGAGCCAGTCTGCTTGAAAATTATATCTCTTTGTGCCAAAAAAACCCTTTTTTTCAGAGGGCTGCAGACGTCAAACAAATAGAGGGAAAAAATTAAGTTTTTAGGTTTTTTTGTTGGAATAATACATACAAGTTGAAAATATATTAAAAGAAAACAAATTTATTTATTGAACAGCATGGGGATTGCGACATAGTAGTAAGAGAATGAAAACAAGTTGATAAAATTATTTTTAGAGCGTTTTGCTTCTGTGATCATCAGTTGAGCCGATGAAATTTGCAAAATTGAAAGCTAATTTTACAAGCAAAGTTGTTTTATGAACCGGTAAGCTTTTGTTATTTATACCCCGCTACAAGTTGTGTAAATACGAGAATCAAAAACTGTAAAATTACTGAACAAAATTCTGATCTGAAAGTAACAACATAAAAGAGTATAGATCAATTTATTAACGTAAAATATAAATGGAACATGCATGTCCTATTTGAATGTTTTTATAACAATTTTTTTACAGAATGAAGCTGCACAATGTTCATGTATAATTATTTAGTTATATGAATATTAATGGAAGTGGACTGTGAATACTTAATTAACTTTTGCTTTAAAAAATATCATTAAATTACAGTCAACGTATTTTAAAAAGAACTTCGGATTTGTAGGGCCAGTGATACTCCGTTTTAAAAATGTCAATTCCCATTTGTTTTTCACTTGTTTCAGTTGTTATGTGTTTCACTTATCTCTTCAGCAAGCAAAGAATAGAAGTTGCTTCTGGAGCAAACTGTTGATGTTAATTCTATCTGTTTTCCTCTTCAAAATGCAAAATCACTGGTATAAGATTATTCAACTTTATTATACAGACGTGATTTCTAACCTTAAAGGAATATACAACATTTGCAAACATCAAAAAACAAAACTACCAAATTATCACGAAATACCTTACTCGACTATTAGGGATGACAATCTAAAGCATCCTGTAAAATCATGGCACCTGGTGTGCTGACATTTTCAAGAAAAGTGTTATTTTTGTATCAATTTCCAATGCTGGTCGGCCCGCCAGCGTTGCGAAAAAACTGGGTTTTTTTTCAAATACTGCTTCCAATTTATCATATTTAGTTAGTCCGCATTTTCTTCGCCAGCGGTTACACACCTGTGAACGGGTACAAGCCAGCTAGACTGATTCCCTGACCTTAACAATTCCCCGACGTCTACAAATTGCTCCGTTTTATCTTAAGTGGGGTTGGGGAACCAGACTACCGGGTACAAGAACATGATTGTTTTTCTTGGTTTTTCCAGCATCTATACGAACCCAAAACTTCAAACAAGTCAGTGTCACAATATTTGCTATAAAATACTAACCCCCAAATCCATCCATTTCTGAAAATTACATGCAAAAGCAAATGTTGTATATTCCATTTAACTTCGCAATTTTTTTTACACATTCTAGTTGATAGGATGCTTCGAATCTTACAAAGCGTAAAGGGTGTGTGGGTCTTCACGAGCTGATCAGCGTGCGAATTGATCGGTGTTCACCCACGAAGCGGGAGACTCCCCTGCGACGTGGGCGACAGGGAGCGAAGCCACCTCACTTGCAGAGTGGCCGAGGTGAAGACTAGTTATAAGTTTTAAGGGCAGTGATTGGTTGCGGTACACGCTGCTACATCAGATTGGAACCAGCCAACCAACTCTCGCAAGCTCGGTGGTTGAGTGATAAGACATGAGCACAAGCAAGCAGGAGGCCATGGGTTCGAGTCCCAACCAAGTAAGCTTGGGATTTTTTTTTGCAAGCCCTCGGACAACACTGAGTATACAGTGCAAGAAATGTGATTGGTGAAGGGCAAAACTCAATACTGAAAAGTTTGGTATATATATTATGAATACAGATAAATTAACATTCACGAAACTTTCACATGCAACATATCATTCTTAGATGCTCTCCTTGGGAATGCGAAACAAAAAGGACAATTTACTTCATTAGTGGATGTATGTATGAATATAAATGAGAAAAAACTTCCGGGAAATTCCGGGCAAATTAAATGGTCAGTACAAAATGTATATTCAAACATAAGTGAATGCATTTTTTTAATATGAAAGCATTTATTAAACAAAAATTTCACAGAATCAATTATAGTGACAATTAGTAGACAGTGTAAAGGGTCAGATTTCAATTTACAGTCTCTTTTACTTACAAAGATGTTTGAGTGATTCCACCATCCAATGCTTTTTGATCAGATGGACCAAATGAACATAAAGACCCTGTTTAGAAACAGCAAAAGCTTACTAATTTGGAAGGGAAAATGGGTCTGTAACCACCATTATTACAATGATTCATGCCATTATATTCAGACTCACAAAAGAAAGCAAACATAGACAAGACAATATCTTTCACTGTAGAAATTGCTGAATCTAAACAAAGTCCTTATATTATTACCGGTAGTTATAAAGCGTGAGTGGAGTAATGAATTTATCTTCAAGCAAACTTGACACACAGTAAAGAACAGGCACGCTGTACACATAAGTTTCAGTGGTTTTATTACAGATCTTATTACATGGTGCACGCGTCTTAGAATAGGGCGATACACAGAGTGTGATACGGACCATGGTATAGGATAATATCACATTGTTGTTGCCATGGATTGATCAATCAGGATCGAGGAATCAAGCTTGTTTGACGATAACAGCCTTAACCTCACTATCACAGCTAGTTTTCCAGGGGTGTTTCAGTGTGCAAATTTACCACAAGCCCAGTTGCCAAGAGAGACATTAAATCCAACCAGGTGACCCAATACTAGTTGCCTATGGTAACCTATTTAAAATGCAATGTAATGCATGTATTTTTACCTCAATGAAATGTTTGCACTGACAATATACAGGCAAACAAACGTCCAGAACTTAAAAGTCGTCGTCCCACAACTTGCATCCTAAAACCTGTCATATTTTTCATTTGGTTTATGTTAAGGATAAGGTGAACTACATGTAAGGGAATCCCACACCTCACATATAACTGAAACTGAAAGTGAGGGTTATTGGAAGTAAGGAGCCATCATGAGGAAATTGTCCCAGACACTTTAACAGACAGATTTGCCGGTCGCCTCAGTTTAAAGGGGCAGTTGTCGAGGAAAGATTTTGTTCGACAAATTGTCTACTATAGGTATTACAGAAGAAAAATCATCTCGGATTTTCACAATGATAGTGAGTCATAGATGCTATTTTTAGGTAAAAGAAGCTGACTTTTGAAGACTGAGGCGTGAGAGTTAAATTTGACTGCATCTTGGGATTTACATAGTCTCCAGACTGACATTTTGATGTGCTTGGGGAGCTGCATTCCACATCTTGTAGACATGATGCTGGTCATCAGTATTAAAACATGGGTATTATTTTGCTTCATATGTGCAAATCATTTAAGCTTTGCATAGTAGTAACTCTTTGTTCCATACTCGCATACATACTATGTACAATATGGGGGATGTAATTATGCACATGGTACAAGCTTTTGTTCAGCATTGCTGCTCTCCTTAAACAGCAAAAGATAATTTAGTCTTCATGTAGTTCTTTCTTGACAGGACATTCTTAATTATTTTCAAGCAAACTTCAATCCTTGATCCTGATTATCAATTCATGGCAACAACTATGCTACATTATCCCATACCGTACTGCGCGTATTGCACTTTCCCAAGATGAGCGCCATTCCTGCTGCACACACGTGTAATAGGATAACTGCTGAAAAATTCGTGTGCAGCATGCTCGTTCCAACTTTACTGTACGTCAAAGTTTGCTTGAAGATAAATTTGTTACACCACTCATGCTCATGAAGCACGAGCGCACGGAGGATAACAAAGTTATGCCTCATGGCATATGGGACACAGACGCACTACATGCAACATGAATACACTACATTATTCTGTGATCCACTCGCGCTCGTGGGATTACTAATATTATATTTGCTCAATGTGGGTATGTTTTAGGATACAGCAAATATTCTAAGAAAGGGTGTGTGCGCTCTTTAATTAATATTACATCTGAAATCAAAAAGCTTTAAGAGTAGGATCTAGGAGCAAAAATACATGTCTTCTAAATAAGATGCCATTACTGTGGTGGAACCTACTCACCAGCTGTAGGCACATTCTTAATGCTCCACCAATATGGATACTAAAATGTGCACGCACCTCAAATTTACATGAGATTGGGGACCATTAGAAATAGTACGTATACGGGATGCGGCTTGGAAAAAGTTGTTCGTTAAATCACCTTTTGTGTGGTTATTTCACTTAACTGACATCTTGACATTTTGATGTGAAATGTGCATCTGACATAAAAATGTCAAGATGCTTCTGACATAAAAATGTCAAGATGCTTCTACCTCAGTATACATTGTAAGTGGCTGGTAAGTTTGCTCGCCAAATTAGTCTATGGGATCCGTGCGCGAAAAAGAGAGCACTTTTTCACCACTTTCAGGAGCCTAGCGGACAGGACACACTGCATGTGTGTATGGGTTATAGCACAATGTAGGAGTGACTACTTTATAATCTAAATGGTCACATAGCCACATAGCGTCTTCGCATGAGCATCAGGGGTCTTTGGCAATTCGTTCAAATGTCTCTCCCAGTGGTCTCCCCCAACTCTCCATTTCTTACCGCTGCGTGGGTACTTGTGCACAGAGCCTATAGAGGTAGTCAAAA